TTACTATGAGATCCTCCCTATCTCCTACCAAAACTGAAGCCATTAAAAACAATGGCAAAAGTATAAACTATTCAGGTCACTTAAGGTAACTTAATATCTTTAGATTTTTTTCTGCTACTCCTTATAGAGCATCAAATACACTTGAGGTTTTGTTACTTTGAATAATCACAATGTAATGAATGTCTAACAAGATTTCTTTAAAGAGACATTCAAATTTAAAATTTTAATAAAACCTTTATCAACCCGGCTCATACCAAACTTTAATGAGAACATATTAAATGTAACACTGCAAATGTAACCTAACAAGTGCTCATCCTATAATCCTCTCCTAGGAGGACAATCCAATGCTAGACTGGCATGCCCCATTAGAGGTAATCTTATAACAGCTCAACTATATAAAGAGCAGAACCAAAAAAAAAAAAAAAAAAAATCAACAAGTAAAACACAACTATTAAATATGGACCATGTTCAAGACACCATTTATGAAAACAAAGAAGCATTTTTTTTAATCCCTGTCAGTTTCCTAGCTAGAAACATGTAGTAGGCATACCATGAGGATACTAAGAAGGAAGGGGGAAAAGCATGGCCCCGGTCCTCAAAATAGTCCTCAAAATGTTTACCTATTAGAAATCGGATTTCAAATTGATTTTTTTTTTTTTATTGAAGCATGGCCTACTTTCTCTGGTAGGCAAGTTTAAGTTCACCTGGGTAGGCTTCCAGAAAAAATGTACCAAACCTTCTGAACAGATCATCAGGGAAACTTCTAAAATACATATTCCCAGTACCCGCCCCAGACTCACTGATGGGAATCTCCAGAGAAGGAGCCTGGGCACCTGTATTTTTAACATCTTCTATCCCAACCCCGTGGTTCTGATGGTCAACGTGCTTAGAAATCACTAGACAGGGGGCGCCTGGGTGGCTCAGTCCGGGATCGAGCGCTGCATCAGGCTCCCTGCTCCGCGGGAAGCCTGCTCCTCCCTCTCCCACTCCCCCTGCTTGTGTTCCCTCTCTCGCTGTGTTTCTGTCAAATAAATAAATAAAATCTTTGAAAAAAAAAAAGAAATCACTAGACAGTACAAATCACAAAGAACTAAAAAGAAGGAGTAACACTGGAAAGGAGGAGACAAAAATTTATTTATAAATGAAAACTGCAGACTGGACTATCTAAGGGAATTAAGTAGAAAATTAAAGGAAATAGGGAATTCAGTAAGATGGCCAGTTACTAAATAGACAAAAATCAACAACTTTCCTACCTGATGAGAAGTGAGAATACACACCGAATGAAAAGATCCCATTCACAACGGCAATGACACAGTATCATATTACCTTCAAGACTAAACTACACAGACAGAGGGAGATACAGAGATGGGGAGAGAGATGTGCACGAAGAACTCTCGATACACAAACAGGCAAATAAATTGAGACAGGCCTTACTCTTACATAGGAAGAGTGATATTTTTTTAAGAAATGTCAAATAGCATTAAATTCACCTACAAATCGGTTTCAAGACCATTCAACATCTGGGCCAATACTAAAGAAGGTGGTGGTAAATTATACATGGGTGGCAGTAAAAGCCTGAAGACTCATTATACAGGGAAGTTTCACATTATCTATCAGAATTTTAAATGCATATCCCCTGTTGTCCAAATAGCACATTTCTGGGAATTTACCCCACAGTAGCACTTTTAGATGTAGGCAAAGATAGGAACAAAAAATGTTCACTGCAGCATTGTAATAGCAAACAACAACAAAACACTAGAAACACTCAAATGCATCAACACAGGACATATTAAGTAAATCATAATAATTCCATAAAATGCTATACAGCCATCAAAAATGGAGATTTATGTTACTGCCATACACAGATAGGCAATATGACTGTTTGAAACAGTACATATTTATGATGTGAGGGAGTTTAATGGGGCTGGCAATGCTGGGTTCAAAACACAGCAGTATGTGACTTTAGGCACGTAAATTAATCCCTCCATACTTCAATTTCTTCATCTGTAAAAGGTAAATAATAATAATCCCTACCTAATGTTAAATATTATCATTTCCAGAAAATATTAAATATTACCATTTCCAGAAAAAATTTCTAATTCAAAAAGTAAAAGGATCCATTATTTGATAATTTTCTTTGTTACTATTAAATGTTATTTGAGGGGCTCCTGGGTGGCTCAGTTGGTTGAGTACCCGACTCCTGACTTCAAGAGTCACGACTTCAGGGTTGTGAGATCGAGCCCAGCAACAGCCCACACTCCAGGCAGAGTCTGCTTGAGTTTCTCACCCTCTGCCCCTCGCCCTGCACACACGCACGCTCTCTAATAAATAAATACATCTTTTTTAAAAATGTTATTTGAGGTGTATGAGCCATCTATATTTTTCCACATACTACCCTTAGATAATTTTCTACTAGAGCTTTAGTACCTTATCAATTTGTGCAAATCCTTACGTACTGAGGATATGAATCCTTGTTCTTATACATCACCAATTTTTCCCAGTTACACATTTCCTGGAATATAACTGTTGACAGTTTAGACGATCAAATCTACCAATTATCTTCCTGAATAACTTCCTGTGTAGTTTCTACTTTGAAAGTCCCTCACTATACTAAAATTTCATATTGTTTCTCTTCCAGTTCTATGTATATCTTTTCATCCAAATGGGAAGAGCTATGTCAATCAAATTTTCCCAAGGTACATAAAGAATCAAGACCAACAACTTTTATGTTAAAAGCCCTTGATTTTTTGTTTGTTTGAACACTCTCTTCCAAAAGGATACCCAGCGTAGTAAAGGTAGGCACCCTTCTCGAAGAAAACATAAACTATGCCACATTCTCAAGCTCAGGGCTACTTCCATGCATCCCCTGGCCTGAAAGTCTTTCTCACATGCCAACAGAATGAGGAGCTGCATAGAGTAAAACCCATAGTCACCACTCTGCCTCGTACACAAGTATGTCCTCCTAGTTCAGACTTCAAAACACCATAGAAAAGTATCCATTAAGAAGTCTCACTCCCAAGCCTATACCGTCCACCCCACTTCTGCCTTCCACCACCTCCTATTCTTATGTATCCTTCCAAAGTCTCTTTCTGTAAATACAATATATCCTCATTTGCCCCAAACATTTTAAACAGCCCTGGTGCAAAGCTTCTTTCACTCTTCTGTTAAACGCCACTATTTTTCCACAGCAGTAACACACAGACTTTTCAATTCTGCCGTCAAGAGAATTAATCTGACTACTGTCAACTCAACATATTTATATATAGTTAAAATTCCTCCTACAACCATGTGTCTAGAGCAGAAGGTGACAACTTAAGCTCAATTAATCTATGTTTAAAAGTGGAAATGTCACATCCTAGAACAGTGTTTTTCAAACTGTATCCTGTGGGGAGGTTCTTTTGGTTGAGACCCCTTATGAGGTCCAGTCTTAAACCCCGAACTTCAGCCAAAATAGTTCTACTCCTTCCTAAGGTCTTCAGTTTAAAAAAGTGACTACACCTGCCTTAGAAGATGGTTCTGATAAAACTAAAATTATCCCCAGATCTCAAGTACAGTTTCTAAATAATACACTGTGAATTAATACACGATCAAGTTCTTCAAACATTCCTTGGGTTACTGAATAGAAAAGGGTAGTCTGTTTATAGGACAAAAAGTTCAATATATAACTTCAAATTTACTAGCTTTTTTATCTAAATCCAATATCCTTTTTTTGTCTATGTGATCTGTGAATTTTACATTACTGAATACACCTGTCCATTTGTCCTTCTATAAGCAGCATTTTTTGATCTGTGTTTGGTAAATATAAGACCATGAGGTATGGTCTTTTTATGGATTTTGGTCATTATAAAGTGAACTCTAACTTTCAGATTAAAATGGTGGACTAAATATATAATATAATTATTTCACTCCATCCCAAAGCCCCACTAAAATCAAAGCAAAATGATTTTTTGAAAGATATATTAAACCACAACAATAGGAAGAAAAGAAGAGGAGGCGATAGATAGCAAAGGTTTGGTTCTGGGTAGCGGACCATCAGTGGTAACTGGCTTCGAGAGAAGGAAACAGGAGAGGCCAAGCTGAGAACCAGCCCAGCACACATGCCTGCATCCTTAAAGATTCCAGATGGGTAGCTGCACAGGGGCCCGTGGAAGTGAGACTGCAGGGCCCAAGTCCGGGGGCCCAGGTGAGATGCTCCTCCCCCACCCTGCGCTGGGGGCCACGGCTCCTCCCTGACCCCAGCATTCTCCAGAAGCTGATTCTCTGGAGACGGTAAAGCAAAGGGTCTCTGGACTCCAAGTCACTGGGCATGGGGGAGGCCAGCACCATCCTGACCACAAGGGCCCTCCCGACTGCATCCAGTGTAAACACCTTCTCCCACGCCCTCCTCTCTCCCCCTTTCAGCTCTCAGAACACCAGCACCCAGGCCCGGCCCGCCAAGCAGAGGATCCCAGGTACAGTCTCTGGGGAAATGACCAGTTCAAAAGGAAAGATCGAAAGACCCTAATGCCAGGAGACTCCACAACAAACAACCTGCCCGTATCAGCCATGGTGAAGCTCAAAATCAATAAGCAAATCTACACATTGAGAGTCCAATGACTCTCCATCATGAGCGGGCAGCCAGAAGTTACCAACATCTGAGGAAAGCCTCTACCACAAAATAGAGATGAAAGCACACAAATCAAAACCCAACTTAGAAGAAAAAAACCTACGTAGGGAGAGACCCCACCAACACGACCACCAAAAAAACCACCATCCTCAAAACCCTATGAGAAGATACCACAACCAAGAAACAAAATGAGAGGCTATCAGTAAAAGAACATTTAGGAAACAAAAGGAATTCTTGAAAATTGAAAGTAAGAGCAGAATGGAAACACTGAAGAGAAGGGCTAAGGAGACAAGGTGCATCCTGGAAGCAAGGGACCAGGACCGGATGACGGGAAACGAGAGAGACAAGAAAGTCAGAGAGACAGCCCCAGAATTCTACACAGAAACCACAGGAGTTGCAGAAAGCGTGCACACAAGCACGGGACACACACACAACACACACACACAGCGGAGGAAGAAATAATCTGAAAGAATTACCCAGAATTCAAAGATGCTCGTTTCCAGACGGAAGGAGCGCACAAAATGCCCAGCACAACAAAGGAACACAAACCCACTTCAAGGCACGTTGTTGTGAAATTTCAGAAACCAGTGACAAAGAGAACTCCTAAAAGCTCCCAGAAAGGAGAATGGGGGAGTCAAAGTCATTTACAAAGTGTTCAGACTTCTCAGCAGCAAAACCAGAAGCAAGAAAACAAAGAATCAGCGTCTTAAAAATTCTGAAGGAAAATTATTTCCAACACTGAATACTACACTCTAACAATCAACCAAGTGAGGGATTAGAGATAAAACATTTCAGAAAAGCAAGACATTTTAAAAATTTACCTCCCACATGTCCTTTCCCAGAAAGCTACTGGAGGATGCCCTCTACCAAAACAAAGGAGAAAACCAAAAAAGAAGACATGGAAGAGACACACAGGCGAGAGGTTCGTGAACCCTCAGAACAATGGCAGGAGATGCCAGGATGACAAACGTGCACGGGTCAGATGGGTAGACGTGAGACTCAGGACCTGGGCATGGCAAAGGCACCCACCACGAACCCCTGCACCGCCGGGTTACCTTCCCTGCTCCACAAAGCTGGCTACTGGAGGACCACCAGCAGGGAGGAAAGCAGAGAGCAGGAAGGAATGCACTTGGGAAACACACTCAATCCAGGAGAAAGGCAAAGGAAAGGCCTAGAAGGTTATAAGGAAAGTCCCGGGCTATGTGGCAGGCCTGGGAAGCAACCACCCCAGAGAGGAGGACAGAGGTCTGCAAAGGGGAGGTCTTCAAAAACAAACATACTCTGGTAGGGCGTATAATGTGATTAGCCTTATGGAAAACTGTACTGAGAAGGTGGCTATTTGAAAATATGGAAAATAATTAGCAGTGGATACAAAGAAAACAAAACAAAGGAGGCAATCATTAAGTTCCATAACAACAAAATTTAAGAGAAAAAACACGGTACACTTTCATGAACGAGGATGTATACTTGCACTGTAATACAAACAGTGATCACAAATTAAGCGGAAAATGTAATAATATACCTCTGTTGGGAGAACAGGGGAGGAGAAACAGGGCAAAGGCAGGATGCAAGACACCATCATCTAACAACAGTAAATTAACAGATAACGTGAAAAACTGATAATCAAAAGACAGATCCACATGCCCATTATTTAGAAACACGCAAATCCATAAATGCTAGAAGACGCAGAATGAAAAGCTGAAAGTAGCTGTTTCTGGGCAAAGACAGAAGAGCAGGCAGGACAGCACCCCATGTCTGCACATTAGCCTCTGAGCGCTACCTGACTCTTAATTAGCGTGCATATTACTCTGAGATGAAGTCTAAATTTTTATCAAAACTTTTCACATTGTGTTTAAATAATACCCCTGCGTTTGTTTGGTATGTATTTGACCATCCTTTTACTTTCTGGCAAAGCAGATCGCAGACTCTCAGGAGCCCGAAAGGCCCCCGGAGACAGGGCGCCATCACCCGCTACAGCACCAGCTGGGGGAGACACTCCATGAGGCAGCAGTACCGTACCTGCACAAAGCAAGGGGAAATAGTGACAGAAGACCTGACACACCACCCTCAGCCCAACACAGAGTAAGTGGGGGAAAAACTGCAAGACATAAATAACACCATGCATAAGGCAGCTCACGTCGAACTCTGAACACACTAACAGAGAACAGATCTTCACGTACAGGCAGAACATGCGCAGAACCGACCACGTCTTAGACACCATCAAGTCCAAAGAATAGAAATAAAGCAAAGAGCACTCTCTGAACATGCTGCAACAACACTAGAAATTAAAAACAAAATTAAAAAAATAAACAGGCCTCTATACCTGAAAATTTTAAAACATGCTAGTATAGAAATACTAGTTGTGGGGGAAACTCGAAAGAAAAATACAGAAATTTCTTTTCTTTTTTTTTTTTTTTAAGATTTTATTTATTTATTTGACAGAGAGAGACACAGCGAGAGAGGGAACACAAGCAGGGGGAGAGGGAGAGGGAGAAGCAGGCCTCCCGCCGAGCAGGGAGCCCGATGCGGGGCTCGATCCCAGGACCCCGGGACCATGACCTGAGCCGAAGGCAGACGCTTAACGACTGAGCCACCCAGGCGCCCCAAAAATACAGAAATTTCTTGAAAATTATAATAAAAAATATATCTAAATCTAAGGGATACATACAGCTTAAGATATAGCAGCCAAAATTCTGTAGTATTAAGTACCTTCAATTAAAGGAAAAAATAAAAATGAATATAACATCCAATTCAAAAACAGACAAAAACAAAGGAAAGCAGAAAAAAAATAAAAATAAAAGCAGCATAAATGAGTCAAAAAACAGAAAAATCACAAAACCAGTAAGTAAACCCCAAAGCTCATTCTTTGAAAAAAGATGCACAAGACAAGTCACTAGGTAAACCAAGAAAAAGGATGAGAACAAAACACACAAATTTGAGTGACAAAAGGGAAAATAACCATAAATACAGAAGACATTTTTTTAAATCATGAGGCTAATATATACATACATTTGAAAAATCTAGATGAAATGAAAATTTTTTAGACAAATACAACACAAAAAAATTGATTCCACTTGAGACGGAACATCCAACAGGCTTTTAAGAATTAGGATGAGTAGCAGAAGTCTCCCTACAAGCAAGCACTAAGTCCATCCAGACAGTTTCTTGGGGTAATTCTACCAAGACCTTAAAACTCAGGTAATCCCAACACCACAACAGACTACTCCAGAGCACGGAAAGAGAAGGGAAATTTCTTAATTTCTTTATGAAGAGAGTGTGACACTGATCTCAAAATCTGACAGGGATTCCACCAAAAAACCAAACTATAAATCACTCACACTTAATACTGATGCAAAAACCTAAATAAAACATTAACAATCTACCTACGCAGCAAAAAATAATGCATCATGATCAAACAGGGATTATCCCAGAATGCAGGTGGTTCACTACGAGGAAATCCATTAATACAACCCATCATATTAACTGGATTAGGAAGAAACTACATGTTCCATTTATGATAAAGTATGTGACAACATCCAACACCCATATAAACATTCCAAAAAATAGAAACGGACTACTAACATGATACATGCACGTGCACACACACACACACACAGAGCAGCAGTTGTGGCGCAAAAGCCAGCATCTTTTTTTTATTTAAATTCAATTTAGTTAACGTGTAGTGTATTATTAGTTTCAGAGGTAGAATTCAGTGATTCATCAGTTGCATATAAACCCAGTGCTCATCACATCACGTGCCCTCCTTCATGCCCACCCCCCAGGTACCCCATCCTCCCACCTCCCCTTCAGCAACCCTCAGTTTGTTCCCTAGAGTTGAGAGTCTCTTACGGTTTGTGTCCCTCTCTGATTTAATCTTACTTTCTTTTTCCTTCCATTCCCGTATGATCCTGTTTTGTTTCTTAAATTCCACATATGAGTAAAATCATGTGGTTGTCTTTACCTGACTGACTGCTTTCACTTAGCATAATATCCTCTAGTTCCATCCACATTGTTACAAATTGCAAGATTTCATTCTTTTTGATGGCTGAGTAATATACCATTGTAGATATATATCACATCTTCTTTTTCCAGTCATCTGTCAATAGACATCTTAACTCTTTCCATATTTTGGCTGTTGTGGACATTGCTGCTATAAACATTGGGGTGCAGGAGTCCCTTTGGATCACTATGTTTGTATCCTTTGTATTAAATACCTAGTAGTGCAATTGCTGGGTCACAGGGTAGCTCTATTTTTACCTTTTTGAGGAACCTCCATACTGTTTTTCCAGAGTGGCTGCACCAGCTTGCATTCCCACCAACAGTGTAGGAGGGTTCCCCTTTCTCCGCATCCCCGCCAACATCCGTCGTTTCCTGACTTGTTAATTTTAGCCATTCTGACTGGTGTGAGGTGGTATCTCATTGTAGTTTTGATTTGCATTTCCCTAATGCCAAGTGATGTGGAGCATTTTTTCATGTGTCTATAAGCCATTTGTTTGTCTTCTTTGGAGAAATGTCTGTTCATGTCTTCTTACCATTTCTTTAGTGGATTTTTGGGTTTTGGGGTGTTGAGTTTGATAAGTTCTTTGTAGATTTTGGATACCAGCCCTTTAGCCAATATGTCATTTGTGAATATCTTCTCCCATTCTGTAGGTCAGCATCTTATTTTAGAAACACCAGAAGCTGCCACACTAAAGTAAAGAACAAAAGAATAATGCCCACTGACTCCATTCCTATTTAACATTATTTTGGAGGTAATGGTCACTGCAGTGTGTCAAAAAAAAAGCAAACAGTGTTCCTACCAATAAAAAGGAAGGGGTAAAACCCTCTCTATTTGCCAAAGATTCCATATCTGGAAAATCTTAAAGATCAAGGGAAAAATTCATACAACCTAAGAGTATTTTGTAAAGTAGGTTACAAAATTGACAGAAAAAAACTAAGAGCCTTAATGTATTGAAGAAAAACAGAAAACATAATGAAAAAGAAGACACCATTTATGATAGCAAAACAGAAATCACATACTTAGCTGTAAACTTAACAAGAAATCCACCTGAGGGAAGCACAGTATTCCCAAAGACACAAAACAGACTTGATCTAATGGAAAGAGATGCCATGTTCTTCCATGGGAGGACTCACCATCACAAAGATGATGGTCCTCATTAAATTAACTTATAAATTTAATAGAATCCAAATAAAAATACCATCAGGCATTCTCCCTATGGAACTAGAGAAGCTGAGTTTAAGTTCATTAGGAGGAACAACAAGCAAAAATTTACCAGAAAGCCCTAAAAAAAGGGACATGTAGGAGAGGCCAGTCCCACCAGGTATGAAATCATTCTAAAGCCTCAGTAATTAAAACTCTGTGGTGGCGGTGGTATATGAATAGATAGATTAATGCAACTCGAAACAAAATCTAGAAATAAACACAACTGCATAGACAAATTTAGTACATGATAAAGGCAGAATCTCCAAGCACAGGGTTGTTTTGTTTTGTTTTGTTTTCCATAAATGATGTTGAGATAAATGAGATAGCCAGAAGGAAAAAAGACAGAAATAGTTCCAACTGGGTCCTTTCCTCATACCATATCCCAGGATACATTCCAAATGGATTAAAGATTTAAATAGAGGGTGGGGGGGTAATGAAACCATTAGAAAAAAACACCATATAACCTGGGAATGGCAGGGGGGGACTTTCTTAACTATGACTCAAAATCTAGAAACAATAAGGAAAAGATAAATAAATTTGATAACTTTAAAAAACCTTTGCGTGGCAAAAGACAAGTGATATATAGGGAAAATGTATTTGTGACTTACATCATCAAGAGCTAACAGCCCAACACGCAGAAAAGAGTTAACAGGCCCAAGACTGTGCTCTTTAGAAATCCTGCTTGCAAGCTTGGCCACCCAGCTGGCATCTGGGAACGCTGGGCTCAGGAGGATTCCCGCCATTCCCTCAATGGTATTCACTGTGCCTAAACCACGCAAACAATAGTTTAAGCTGAACATCTGCTTTCCTTCATGGGGCTCTGCAATTTTGGTATGTGCTAGGCAGGGGTGCCGTGGCCAGCCTCGACAATGCTGGGCATGGAGTCTTTAAGGAGCTTCCTTGATGTGCTGTCAGAACTGGAGGCTGACGAAGCACGTCCGTGTGGTTCCAGTGAGAGAGGACTCCGGAAGCTTGCTCCTGGTTTCCTCCTGGCTCTGCTTCATGTGCCTTTTCCCTTGGCTGATTTTGCTTTGTACTTTTTCACTACAGTCCTGGAATTGCTCCTAGCAAATCACTGAAGCCAGGAGCGGTCTGTGGGACCTCCAAACACCCTAATACTTCCGAAATCAAAGAAACACAAAACCAAAAACACACAGAAAAATGGGCCAGAGAAATGACACGACAGAATACAGAAATGTAAATGTCTCTCAACCAAATGAAAAGATGCCCATCTTCCCACATAAGAAGAAATTCAAATTAAAACTATAATATCATTTCTTACCCTCTAGATTGGTAAAAATAAAAAAAAATTTGACAATATACTCTGTTAGTGAGTCTGTAAGAAGACACAGGCAGTTTCATACATTACTGGTGAGGATACACACTGCTGAGTGGCATTTCACACCCACTAGCAAAATTACATATGCAGTTACTCTTTGACCCAGAAACTTCTAGAAATCTATCCCAGATATACCCAGCAAAAAGTACAAAAAGATGTATGCACACACAAGACTATCACTGCAGTCTATTGATAATAGCAACATGCTCAAAAAAAAAAAAAAGAAAAAAGAAAGACAGGGCCATGCCTAAAGAACACCAGAAACAGTTTGAATGGGCTTTTATTGGTCAAATCTCAAACAATTTAAGCGTCAAAACAAATAATGGCAATAACAGATAATAACCCATTAAATATAGTAAGAACAACCTTTTGAATAATAACCCATACAAATGATAAATAAATAGATGAGAACTATGGGAAAGTGTGCGCTTAGAGTAAAACATTAATTAATAAATGTAGACATGACGCTAGAGTATAAATAATCACAATTTGGCCATCATCACTGCAATTATCAATTAGGGCAAAAATCACCAATGGAGACTAAGACAAATGGGTGAAAGTTTAACGAAGAACAGGGATTTACATAATCTCAAAATATCTCTCCATAAATGACATTAATTACAAAGGGAAAAATGAACAATGCAGTGGGGATATCTAGTGGACATCACCCCATCCAAATAACCCAAGTGAACTTCATTGAGGAGGAGGCATATCACTATTTTAAGCCTTCCGACTAGAGGGATCTCATGTACAGTACAGCACTGTACTGTAATACTGTTCACTGTATTATATACTGTGATATACTATATACACTGTAATACTGTATTATAAACCTGAAAGTTGCTAAGAGACTAGAACTTAAGTGTTCTCACCACAAAAAAGAAATGGCAACTACGTGATATGAGGGAGGTGTGAGCTAAAGCTATGGTGGTAATTATTTTGCAATATATAAATATACCAAATCAAAATGTTGTACAACCTTAAACTTACACAATGTTATATGTCAATTATATCTCAGTAATGCCGGGGGTGGGGAGATTCTGGTGGGGTGCACCAAGAAAGATGGGCGTCGCTTCTGCAATATTCCTGACAAAAACGCATACCCTGAATCTATCATGGGGAAACACCAGACAAGCTGACACTGAGGGACAGTATACGTAGCAACTGGCTCCCAAAAATGTCAACGTCCTGAAAACCAGAACAAGGCTAAGGGACTGGTCCAGTTGGATGAGACTTAAAAGACAGGTGAAGTGCTGGACGAGGGAGGGGAGTAAGAGTCCACAAGACACAGACAGGACCATTCATGGGAATCCAGACAGCATATTAGAGAATACCACTGCATAAATGTCAGACTTTTTTTTACTTTAAATCATTGGTCTCTGATTATGTAAGAGGAAGTCCCTCTTCTTAGTATGCACTGAAGTATTTTGGTATAAAAGGGCACAATATCTGCAACTTCCTCTCAAACAGTGCAGAAAAATAATAATATGTATAGATTATACAGAGAATGATAAAGCAAATGTTAATAGTTGGTGAAAATGGATGAAGAATATATAGTAGAGGCAGGGGCGCCTGGGTGGCTCAGTCAGTTAAGCGTCCGACTCTTGATTTCAGCTCACTTCATGATCTCAGGCTGTGAGATCCAGCCCCACGTTGGGTTCCACGCTGGGTGCGGAGCCTACTTAAGATTCTCTCTCTGCCCCTCCCTCCACGCCTGCCCCTCTCTCTCTACCCCTCTTTCCTTCCTTCCCCCCCCCCAAAAATATATATATAATAGTGTTTTTTGGTACTCTTCTTGCAGTTTTTTAGTAAATCTGAAATTTTTTCAAAGTAAGTTTAAAAATGCAAGAAAAGGGGCATCTGGCTGGCTAAGTCAGTGGAGGTGCAACTCTTGATCTTGGAATTGTGGGTTCAAGCCCTGTACTGGGCGTAGAGATTACTTAAAAAAAAAAAAAATCTTTTTAAAAAAATACCAAAAAAGGTAAGAGAAGTGAGACTAGAATTTGTGGAATAGTCTCTGAAAACTATGCAGCCCAGTAATCCCTTTAAATAAACAAAGCTTTATCTTTGGATCAAAGAGGTACCTTGGTCCACGTTATCCTGCCCCCCCTCCCCAGCACGCTTGTGCTGAGTTGGTCTCAGGGACTATTAGAGGAGGATGCAGAGCTACAAGAACGAATTTTATTTACAATAAAAAAAATAGTACTTGGTACACTATTAAATGACTACTGTTCACTATGTGTAGTTCCATGTGAATTTTTCTTCTAGAATTTAGTACTAGAAAAAAAGCTTTTTCACCTAAGAAGCAGGTATTTCTCTTCCTTCTTGATGACAAGAATTGCATAACTGACAATGACTCTCTACTAATTTTGTCAGACAGGCAGACTAAGGCCAAATGTGGGGCCCAACCACAGTGACCACTGGTCTACAGTTTAGGATGAATACCTAGGTCTTTTTCCTTCGTCCCAGTTATTTTTATGGGCATTTTACCCTTTTTTAAATCCTATTTTGATGTAAAAGTCAAAAACAATTTCCACTCCCTGGGAAATATAAGAACTATTGATATGCTCAAGTAAATTTAAGCCCTCCGAGGCTGCTCCTTCTGACCATATACTGGACCCTGGGAATTCACGGTAAATCACAGTCATTTCCACGACAGAATATGTCCATGTGAAACCTAGCGGGACGATTCCCTGCCACTGTCTACAACAGACTGGCAAAGCCTACAACAGACAAAAGACAACTGCATTGATTTGGGGTCATAAAACAATGATACACTGAAGTTGTATCTCCAAGTGAGCCAAGTTACATTTACCACTTACCTCAAAAGGTCAGAACAGCACCACGGTTTAGACATTTATAGCAAGAATGATGAGTAAGGCCCCCAGCTTACTAATATTAAAGGTATGACAAACTCTGTGGCCATTACCTTAATGCTACTACCAAGAAATGCTTTAGATTTCAATAGGTTTACGAGACCAAAAATACAAAAGTCAAAATTTCACATGCACCTGTGGAAAAAATACATTTACCTGCTGCCTTCACTCTTGACACAAGCAGACCGCAGGTGGGCATGGGATGAATACCCATATTGTGCGAGAAGGGGGCATAAGGAGGCAACAATGGGGGCGGGGGGGGGGGTGTTCACATCAATTTTGATTTTCGGCTGTGTTCTAGGTAGCAGAACAACTTCTAAAATAAAGAGCCACAAAACTTCTGATACAATACTTATTTCAAAAAGAATTAGCACAAGCCAAGAGGCCATTTTTTCCAGCCTGTAATCAATGCTAGTGGCTTCACCAGCAAAAGGAAAGCATGATCAGTAGGAGATGGACTGTAACAAATTAAAGAAGACACCCCCACAAGGTTGTCAAGGAAACCAAACCAAGTGCATTTTTCTACAGAAAGAATCAAGGCTAAGGTGAACATGCCATGGAAGATTTTCTGACAAAAATATTCAAAGTCCCGTGTCAAAAAATCTTTAAGAGACTGAATTTACTTCCAGGCTATTTCATTAAGCACTTCATCTATAATGCAAGCAGGCATGCCTAAATCTCCGAACTACCAGCGAGATGGATTCACCTTCCTAAAATCAGCTAAGCTTGGGCCACTGAAAATACAGGAAATTTCCTAAAACCCCTTCTGCATGTTGTCACAACATCAAAAGAAACCATCTCAACCAAAAAGTAAAGAGGGGAAAAAAAAAAACTATACCACGGAGAGGCCTGCCCAGATTTAGACTTTGTTTTTCAAAATGGAGCCTTTTTAACATTCGTTTTTCAGCGAAAGGCAAGTGAGCGCAAACCGAAGCAAGGGCTCGGCCCGAGGGAGCCGGGCGATACTGGAGGAGAGCAAAGCGGGCTGCACAGAGGCTGTCAAGCTGGTGGCGTGATGCGAAACCCTCCACAAGTGAGCGGTCAAGAACCACGGGCAAGAAGTGACAGGCACTTGGGGGCACAGGGAGCGGCACGGCTGGGCAGGTGGACGGCAAGGGCCGTCAGCGGGGTCCGCAGCGGCCCGGCGCGCGGGAGGAGCGGGAGGAGCGGGAGGCGAGGCGAGGCGCGCGCACCGCGGCCGCGACCCGCGCCCTTCAGGGGGAGCGGTGGCTGCGCGCGGCCCCGGGGGCCCGGAGGAGGGGGCGGGCGCCCAGGTGGCCGCGGGGCGCGGTGCGGCCGCCAGGTGAGCCAGGGCGGGCCGCGGAGCAGGTGCTCGGCGTCGGGGCAGGCGCCGGCGGCTCTTACCCGGTGCCGCAGTCCACCACGCAGGGAGGCAGGGAGCCCGCCATGCTCGGCGCGCGTGCCGCTCGGCCCACGCGGGCGGCCCGGGAGGCGCCGCCGCCGTCCGCTCGCCGCGCCGCCCGCTCCCGGGAGCCTCCGCCGCGCCGCCGCCGCGGGCCCGGATGCTCGGCGGCCGCCCACGTGACGCTGCCCAGCCGGCCAATCGGGTTGCGGGCACGCCCCGCCCCGCCCCGCCGCCCGCCCGCCATCTTTACTCCTGGCGGCGAGGCCTCCTCGCGCGGACGTCCGATACCGCTGCTGAAGCGGTTGGGGGCTATTTTTAACTCACTTACCACGAACGTGACCTCGTTTCCGGGGCCTGGCTCCTTCTCATCCTGTAAGTCTCGGCTGGAGAGTCACCTTCTCAAGAAGTTGTTCCTAAGCATCCTAAGTAGGTCCCCTGCCTGCACCTTACTCTATCTCAAGGACCTGTTACTTTCATTGACAGCGCTTGGAGCAAATTTTTAATGCTGATTTATTTGTGGTTCCCCCAGCCCCGCCCCACGGGACTGTAGGCTCCGCCAGGGTGGGGCTGGTGTCTGTCTCACCATGGGTGACCTGGTGCTCAGCACAGTAGTTAGTGCATACATGGGAAGCACCTCAGTGTTTGTTGAGTGAATGAATAACCTTCACCTTAAAGATGAAACCATTACCATCAGAACTGATGGATAGTGACCTTAGATGGAGGTCAGCAAGATCATCACGGGAAGATGTTTTCAAGTACAAACATGAGATGATTCTCCCAAAGTTCTCAGTGAAACCAGGAACCAGGGGTGCCTGGCTGGCTTGGTCAGTAGAGCATGTGGCTCCTGATCTCTGGGCCCGGAGTTCCAACCCCATATGGGGTGCAGAAATAACTAAATAAACTTTTTTCTAAAAGGAGTTAGTGGGGGAGAGGGAGGCAAAGCAGACAAGTACCTACCCACTATGTTATGAAGGCATGAAAGCCCCACTTGCTTCCAGCTCCCTGCCCTACCATAAATTCTTGACATTAATTTTTTAGGAGCTTCTGGAGACTTAGTTTCATGTAGTATCACTAATATTTAAAGCAATGTGTTTTTTTCAGGGCGCCTGGGTGGCTCAGTTGGTTAAGCGACTGCCTTCGGCTCAGGTCATGATCCTGGAGTCCCGGGATCGAGTCCCGCACCGGGCTCCCTGCTCAGCAGGGAGTCTGCTTCTCCCTCTGACCCTATCCCCTCTCATGCTGTTTCTCTCTCTCTCTCTCAAATAAATAAGTAAATAAAATCTTTAAAAATAAATAAATAAATAAAGCAATGTGTTTTTTCCCTAGAAGAAGTACTAGATGTATTGGTCATTCTAGGTAACCCATGATCATTCCTTTCCCCTCCTCCACCCCAAGTGAAGTGGAGAGAGGAGTAGAAGATGAGAGGGAAATGACAGGTCAGGAGGGTGGAGGAATCCCTGAATAGGACCCCAAGGCCAGGGACAAACAGTGACTTGCCTGCTTTGTGTGTTGTCAAGGGCCTGCCCAGCTCCTGTTCTTCAAAGGCCCTAGTCAGAGTGTTGTAGGTAAACTCTGGGTTGCAAACTGTGGCACTGCCTTGTCTCTTATTTTCCTTCACTTAGTACATATTTATCAAGTGCCTACTGTGAGGTAGGCTTTGTATTATATTGGGCATGAAACAGGAAGCAGAGGACTCAACAGTGTTTGCCTCCAAACTGTAGAGTCTAGTGAGGGGTAGAGACAGTAAACGGGCAACCACAACACAGTGTGGTAAATGCTAAGATGGGGGAAGTCCAGGGTGCCCAGAAAGCCAATAACAGGGCATCTGACCCAAACCTGGGAGTCAATGAAGTCTTTTCAAAGCGATGGTATCTAAGCTGACACCAGAGGGTGGGTGGAGAGTAGCTGCATGGTGGAGAATGTGGGGTGGGAGAGTATTTCTGGGATGAGAAATATATACAAAACCCAGCAGGACCTCAAGGCTCATATATGGCCCAGTTTGCTTTGCCAGAGAAGAAGCCTCAGTGGAACTGGGACTAGCTAGTAATAAAGCATATGTGCGGGGCACCAGGGTGGCTCAGTTGGTTAAGCATCCACCTTCAGCTCGGGTCATGATCTCAGGGTCCTGGGATTGAGTTCCACATCGGGCTGCCTGCTCAGCAGGTAGCCTGCTTCTCCCTCAGCCTCTGTCCCTCCCCCCTGCTTGTGCTCTGTCTCTCTCTCAAATAAATAAATAAATAAAATCTTTTTAAAAAATAAAAATAAATATATAAAGCATATGTGCCTTTGTGGGGAGTGTCCCTTCTGCATAGGACTCATTGGGAATGGTGGCCACAGTCAGCAGCTGGTAGGAAATAAAAGATTTCCTGACCCTAATTATTTCCTCTAGATACCACTAACCATTATCAGCTAAGATGTTTCCATATGCAGATAACAGAAAATTTAAGGTGCCACAAGGAATGAGCACATTTTATTTCATACGATAGGAAATCCAGAAACTCCAGGATAATTCAACCACTTGAATTCAACCATTCAACCAAATGACATATTGTAGGCCTGTACATTCCATTCCACCAGCGCATTGGCCTTTGTCCTCAGACTTATCCCTTGCCGTTGAAACATGGCCCTAGCCACTCCACACACCATAACTGGAATGGATGGGGACCGGGAGAAATGCCCCCATCTTCCTTCCTAAGAGGGAGAGGGAGGAAATGCTTTCCCAGAATTCCCTAGCTGCTTCCCTCATGTTTCATTAACCTGGCTCAATTAGTATCCTGGGGCTGCTGAAACAAAGCTCACAAACTGGGATGCTTAAAACAATAAACACTTGGGGTGCCTGGGTGGCTCAGTCAGTTAAGTGTCTGACTCTTGATTTTGGCTCAGGTCATGATCTCAGGGTGGTGAGATAGAGCCCCGCATCAGGCTCTGTGCTCAGCACAGAGCCTGCTTGAGATTCTCTCCCTCTCCCTCTCCCTCTGCCCCTCCCCTGACTCACACTCTCAAATAAATAAATAAATAAATAAATAAATAAATAAATAAAATCTTAAAAAGGGGGGGGGGGCGGCATTTATTCTCTCACAGTTCTAGAGAAAAGAAGGCCAAAATCAGGTGTTGGCAATGTTGTGTCCTCTCTGAAGACTCTTGGGGAGAATCTTTCCATGTGTTTCTCTTAGCTTCTGGTGTTGCCAGCAATACTTGGTGTTCCTTGGCTTATAGATGCATCGCTCCAATCTCTGCCTCTTCCATCACATAGGGTTCTCCCCATGTGCCCACATCATCACATGGCGTTCTGCTCTTCTTAGAAGGACATCAGTCATATTGGATTCAGGCCCACTCTAATGACCTCATCTTAACTTGATGACATCTGCCAAGGCCTTTTTCCAGATAAGATCACATTCACAGGTACCAGGGCCTAGGACTTCTACGTGTCTTTTAGGGACACAATTCAATATCAGCCTATGCTAAAAGCAGCCATTGGTACAGGGAACTGATGGGCTGTGATGGGCTTACACTATTAAAGACCACCTCCCTTGGGCTGGAAAGGGACCTGTGTCCTCTGAAGCATGTGGCTGTCAATACCTGGTTGGAATCGGGTTTGAGCAACAAGAAGGGGAATGACAATCAACAGTTGCTGTTTTGCTTGTAATTTTCCCAACTAAACCATATATTCTCACTCATTCTATGCCTTTTCACTCCTCTAGCCTCTGCTTTGGATGGTCGCTGAAACAAGTCATCCTTGTTGACCCAGCTCGAGCTGTGCCACCTCTGTGAAGCTATCCTTCTT